GACCCTTCACAGTTTGACTTGCTACTTTAAAAAAAAATGCAGAAATTAAGTTTGGATCTGAATTGAAAATAAGGGGTTTGACAGGGCCTGAAACACTGCCTACTATAGATAGCCAAATGTTGGTAGGGAGTCCAATCATAATGGGGTTCTGCCTTTCCTTTATTAAGTAAGTACATGAGTAAGTAACCCTTATTAGTGTGATCTTTGTAAATGAAACCTTTGTTAAATGCAATTCTTTAGTTACCAATTGAAGACAAAATGAGAATAATTGCTCAGAAGATTTATGGTGCAGATGACATTGAGTTGTTGCCAGAAGCTCAGAAGAAGGTGGAACGCTATAAAAAGCAGGTGAATTTTTAATTAGTCTGTCTTTCCAGAAAATGTAATATTTTTAGAAATAGTTGTATCTTATTATCTGTCCAATGGGGACCACAGGCTGCCTGATTATGTTTTCCCTGAAAAGGAGCAACCCCAGTGGTTAATTGGTGGAAGGTCTCCATGATACCAAAATTTAGATTTTTGACAGGGAAAAGGAGCTTCCTGGGATGTTCTAGTAGGTTTTTTTTTAAGTTTGTATAAAATTGGCATTGAGTAGGGTAAAACCTCAATATAATTGTTTCTAAGGGCAGGAGAACAGTGCATAGGTGAGAATGAATGTAAAGAAAAATGGGGATTCTCAAGGATGCTGAAGATTTAGATGGAATACCAATGACTGACTTAATCTGCATCCTGTGTTTGTTTTCTGGAAAAATGCTTTTTTAGTTAACACAGTCCCTTCCAAACCCCTCTGTTAGATGTTATGCAGGGTATAACTTTTTTGTTGTATGGTCTATTTCTTCAATAGGGTTTCAATGACTTGCCAATATGCATGGCCAAGACTCATTTGTCACTCTCTCATGACCCTGAGTTGAAAGGATGTCCCAAAGGTGTGTAGAACTATAAATGTCTTGCACTTCTGTTATACCTGACTTCAGGTTGCTTCAATCTGTTAACTTACCTCGGGATAACTTTGTAAGATGAAGTCTCTGGCCAGCCTTGTCTCCAGTATCTCTCCTCTTGTAACTCAACCTTCTTTCAATTGCATCTATTGCTTCTTTTGTCCTGCCCCCCCTGGATAGAGAAAGAGGGGAAGGAGGAAGAGAGGGGTATTCTGCTCCTCTTGGGGTATTAGAGAAAAGCAACCATGAGAATTGTTTCTCTCGTTGTACTGAACACTTATCCTTTGCAGGATACCCTTAGCAGTTTAAAGAGTTTTCCTGCAGGTGCACTGTTATTCAATGTACACTCCTGGGGATAGTTGATCGAAGGCCAAGTAGCATAACCCAGGATTAACTTTTTATCTCGGTTTCTTTATTCCTTTATTAAGAGGCCTTTTTGGGATAAATATGTTCCTTTTAGTGCATCCAATTAGCAAATTGTAGACAAAAAGAATTATACCAAATTTCAGGGCATGAAATTAATTTTTTTTTTCGGATAGCCTCTTGGCTCCTAAATTCTTCAAAGTGGTTGCCAATTCAAAAAAAGTTGGTCACCATTTTCAAAGACAAGCAAAACCTTTTTTTACGCTGTCATCATTCTAGAAATTAAGTTAGGGAAAAGATCTTTAACGTGCTACAAAGAGGACACCAGGATGGATATATGCAATGTTTAAGCTCACCTAAATCTAAGGTGGTGTCTATTATCGATCAAGATGCATGTGCTGCGTTTTGGAAACAAACTTGACGAGGAAGTTTGCCGCGGATTTGTCTTTGCAAATCTTTTTGATTCACTATATCTCTAGGTGAGGTTATGATGAAACATTCAAGTCACCAATTTGGCCACTAATTTTCAGTATTTGGTTGCCAAAGTGAAAAATTTAGTTGCATTGGCGCCTGTATTAGGTGCAATTTCACGCCCTGAATTTTCTCTTAAAGTTTCCAGATCTGAAATCAGATTTCACTCTAACACTGGGTTTTCGTAACCTTGCTTTGAACAACCCATGGTGAAAGTTTCATGAATCGCCCAAAAACTCAAATCATGTGGAGCTCAAATCTGGACCTGTATGCACAGAGTGCAGGCAGGAAAACCTTACACCATCCCTGTAGTTTTAGCCAAAAATCTCAATATCTCAAAATATTAATACCCTTGTCAAATGATTTGATCACAATTTACTGCTGCATCTCAAATAGGCTAGATTACCACTGCTCTCTTGTGTCTGGTGTCTGGTCTCTCCTCCTACCTGTGGGGGGTGGGGGGGGGAAGAGGAGGGAGGGAGGAGTACATGGCTCATATTCCCAAACAGCAGCTGATAATCATGCCTATATCTCCAACCATCACTTTCAGGAAGACAATCTGCTGGCCTAGCATGATACTTTAAATTCCTTGCCTTCATTAATTCAATTTCTTATACATGTTTTCTGTTTTGCAGGTTTTGTCCTTCCCATCCGTGATGTTCGAGCAAGTGTTGGAGCAGGGTTTCTTTATCCATTGGTTGGCACTGTATGTGTTTTTTTAACATATTTCATTACATCTCTTCTCTGCAACTGCTATTTGGGCTTGTCACAACATGCTCACAGGGAGGGTGTGTGTTGCATGACAAGTATAAAGCCATATGCAGTGGCCTGTATTGCACATTACTGCATCTGCTGGTAGTTTTGCGTCCACTTTGAAGAAATGAGAGGTAAAGCCACAAATTTTCATCCCCAACCTCTCCTGGCTTCACTGCTTGACCCTTCAGAGAGCACTTAAAACTGCCAGCCATGCAGACTAAGGAGACAGCTTTCTTCCAAGGATGGTATGCTAAGAAAACCCTTTGTTACCTTTCACATGGCATTCCAGCTCAGTAAAACAAACTGTTATTATTTTTGTGTTTTCTTTTTTTTTATCTTTGAACGTTGCAGATGAGTACCATGCCAGGCTTACCTACAAGACCTTGCTTCTACGATATAGACTTGGACCCAGTCACAGAAGAGGTGCTTGGGCTGTTTTAGGCCTCCACATACCAGATTTCTTGGCAATAAAGGGAACATACTGTTTAAGATTTATAGCTTGCAATGTAAGGTTTAATTTGCTGACCACACCTGCCCCCCTCTCCCCCCCCCCTTAAAAAAAAATGGAACGTGCAAAAATGTAATTAAGTAGGTGATGCCACTGACCAAGAAATGAAGGCTCAGTCAAACATGCAGACTAGCTGTATATTTTCATACGTCACATAATATCAAGTTATTAAATTGTGTTAAAAGCCTTTCATTCCCATTATCTTGTTGACCATATATTACTTTTCTCAGCTAAAAACTCTCATTAGTTTCTGTAAGAAAGTTTGCCATGCTCTCTAGAGAAGTGCGCATGATTAATCCGAATGAACTTAGGAAAAAACACTGAAAATTTTATTTCATGCTTCAGTGAAAACAATTCTTTTTAAGCTGATAAGGTATCCAAACAACCTCCAAGGTCCAGGTTCCTTTTTTTGTAAAACCCTAGCTTTAAACGCTGAGTGACCCAGCATGTAAATTCTCCTCACAGTACTACAGCTGAATCTATCATTAAGATCAGGAGAATAAAGGAAATGATCACCAACCAAGGGAGCTTTGATTGCTTAACAAATTCTCCTTTTCAGTTCTAGAGGAAATGTATAGAGATGAGTATGGAGAATGTGGATACTGATGTTTGGGTGTGAAGGGTTATCATGTGTAGTCAAGTGAGAATGCAGAAAATATTAACTAGGGAAATTTATCTGATTAGTATAGGTAATAACACGATTTTGAATGCAATTTGGTATGAATAAGCACAGGCAAATTTTTCAAAGACAACAAAATTGCATGGGCCTGTAGGGCAAGTGCAATTTGTAGGCTGAAAAATTTACATTAGTGCTTATTACACCAAATTACACAAGAAATCATGTTATTACCTGTTGATAATGAACATGAAAAAACCTTGAGGCAAGACAGACAAAATATTTCGAAAGGGTGTGTGTTTCATGCATTTGCAATCATGTTGCATGAGGATGCACTCATTTTTTCACGCAGAATTATTGGATGAGGGTGCTCAGTCAAGGGGGGGCACTAAAGGTTTCATTTCAAAGAGCGTAAACTTTGTTTTAGCTAAATCTTTAAGAGAAAGACAACTTTTGTTAACATTATCCTCTTTGATGTGAAGTCAATGTGGAGGTAGAACAGTAGATGGAAGTCATTATACAGATAAGAAACTATTCTTCTGTACTGAATTCTCTAGTTGAAGCTTAAAAAGTTAAAAATAAAGCCCAACTGGCAATAGAAATGGGATTTTGTATCCTGATTATTTAACCCTTGAACTCCCAAGATCTCATTAGTAATTCCCCTTACTGTCTGCCAAATGATTCTCATTGTGTTGGTTTGGAGAATTTGGTATCGGATCAATTAGTAATTCTAGCTATGATTGATATTCTTTATTCTCGCAACTTGTCTAAATGATGTTGTATAGAGATAGTAAGGAGAAATTCTGTCTTGGTCACTCATGGGAGTTAAAGGGTTAAGAAAGTTAAGGAGGAGAGGGGGGACTCATGTGAGAGGTCTGCTTGTTTGATGTAAGGGCCCAGGAGTTGGGTGCTCATTTGTGGGAGGGTGTTTAATCATGTAGATTGAGGGCACTTATTGGAGGAAATACTCAATTCAAAATGGGAGTGCCTGCTCAACTTCTCCCTGTCCCCCTCCCTGCCCATCCCAGATGGGTGCAAATGAACCCCACTGAGATTTACAACAAAGAAAGTGGTTTTACATTAACTTTAATGTTTAATTTGTTAAATACACAAAAGATTACTGTAACTTTACAAGCTCAGTAAATTTAACTTTCTTCTTATAATATCTAATTTTTTTAATTTAACATTTGCTATACAAGTTTTACAAATTCTAGAAAAGTTAATTTTAAAAGTACTGTTAAACAATTTGATTATCACCTGATTTCCATTGTTTGACAATTGATGAGGGTAAAGTGAAAACTAGCTTAATAAAAATTAAGAATTTAATGAATAATGTACAACAACTACAATGTAGTCAAATTTCATTTTTCTTGTCAGGTTGAAAGGACATCTGTTAAGTTTTTGCTTTTTAATATTGTCAACAAAAAAATGAGAACTGTTTGGAATACTGTAGAATTTGTTTTGGCCTTCAGAAACAAGCATGATAAACTTAACTTTCTCCTTGAAATCTATTTATAAAAGCTATCTATAAAAATTTTTTTTAAATCTAAATGTGAACTTTTTCTGTGAAAAATGTAGATTGTTAGCTAGTGATTTATATTGCTTGATGGTTGATGAGGACAAACTTAAATAAACTATCATGCATAGAAATTGAAAATAAATAATCTAATTCAGCCCACATCCAATTGGTCTTGAGATACAATTCATTTTACTGTTTTATGTGACCACTGTAATGGGAGCTGTTGATCAAAAGCCAAGACTTAGGTCACAGTTGTCAAGTAGGGGGACTGATGTGAACAGCAAGCCTAGATTAAAGATAAAAACAATACTACTGTGCATTTGGAGTTCCATCACAAAATAAATAAACAAATGAACTATGATCTGTTAGTTCCAATGCAATGGAATAATGTTTTCATTACTGGGCATGTTCAAGTCCAAAACTAAGAAACCTACAGTATCTCCTTAATTACCACCCAACTGTAACTTAAATGAAAAGTGAGCATCAAAAAAACCAAATAAATTTATCTCCTCTGTTAAAAAATGTGTATCCCTTTCTGTGATTCCAAACAATGACTTGACCATGGTGTTAAACATCTTTTACAGAAAAATTAGTCACCTGGTCCTGAAAAAAAAAAAAAAAAATACAGTTGAGTCTTGAGCGCTTCTTGAATGTGTAGCTGCTAAATGTTTTAAAAGATTACCAAGAGTAGCCAGAAAGAGAAAGACCTTGTCACAGCAAAAATGCCAGAATTAAGAAGATTTGGTTATTCTTTGAAATCTAGATACCCCTTACTTAAATTCACTTTTTATAAACCATGGTTCCCTTGTGCTAATCACACTTGTGATTGGCTGATTTGTAATCACATGATCCCAAGAGGGTTACAGTTACTCAGTGCCATCAATGTCCAGCTTTTGTTCATGATCAGAACATGGCTAAAGCCTGTGGTCTGATTGAGGCCACAGGCTCCTTCCATAAAATTTGCTGTTAGCCCTCTGCTAGTTACTGAGAACTCAATGGATTTTGTCCTCTGGATGTATAACAAAGCATGTAATGTCTGATCTCTGGGAAACAGCTCCCTTTTGTTTACTCTCGAGTCTTCATGTTTCTCTCACCTTCAACTTAGGAAACATTGAGACTGAAGGGGAAAACAGAGGTGTTTCCCAAGGGACCAGACTTAAAGTGTGTATCATATAAATGTTCTTTTCATTGACGGATTCTCAAAATCTCGTGATATCCGTGAAACGATACTCCCTTTCCCTTAACATTTAGTTAAAAAACCCATGGCAAATGTTTGGTTTTAACAATGTATGATCCCAACATTCTAAGGTCGCTTTAGGCCGCATTGAGCAGTGAAAAATTTATCCCAACTTAGACACCGAATATCTCCAGTGTTACCTCGGTTGAGCAGTGAAAAATTTACCCCAACTTAGAAACCGAATATCTCCAGTGTTACCTCGATCCAGGAGTTACCATTTACTGTGAGCAACGTTTATTCACAGATGAACAGATTTCATAAACAAAAAAATGGGGGAAATGAAATGGTCAAGGAAAAAAAATTATCAACCCGTATTGACCTGGCTATGTTCGGGACCTGGTCCTATAAAGCTCTTAAATCAATTTACGATCAGAAGAAAACGGTTAAAGTACATTTATCGCCCGGAAAGTGTCCTAATAGTATGGAAATATCTTTTGATTTAGCATAAATGCGATGATATTCAAGCAAAATTGTTGCAATGGTTTGATTTTAGGTAACTAATTGAATTTAAACAAGCCACGCGCAATTACGCTCAGTGTTTAATTCGCTTACCGTTTTGAGAACAAAGGATTTTATGAAAGGAACATTCTTATCAATTCTTATATACTATTGGTGATAGCAGTTGGTCATTTTTTAAATTAAATCGCTGCAAACTCAAGATTAATGATACAGTACTTACAGGTCACGCAACCGGTTTAGTGGATAATACGCAAATTCAACATGTTTTCCAACAGGAGTCAGTTTACCATTTCCTCAAGTTTGCAGTACAAGAAAAACCCAACCTTTGGCAAGTCCGTTAGAGTAATTTTCATTTATATCAAAAGTAAGCCTTAAATACCAACGTAATACACTCTAGCAGTAACCACACACGCGAAACGGAATGTGGCTTGAGATAGACAATCAACTTGGACTCGTGAAAATGCAAAAGCAATCAAGTTTATTCTTGAGTCTAATAAAAGTGGAAATTTATTACTTTATTTGAGGATCCTGTTTAGATAAGGTTAGTAGTTTTTTTATCATTTTACTCTCCTTCATATTTCTTTGATAATTTTGTCCACAACAAGTACAAAAGTTGAAATTTGTTTTGATTTTGTAGAGAACACTTAGATGTTGGTTTCGTCGAGGTAAAATATTGGAAAAGTTCTCGTTTTTAACAGAAAGCCAAATTTATTATGTCAGTGATTAACTTCCCTTTTACCTCAGTTTATTTTCTAGTTCTTTGCATAAAGAGAATGCTTTAAAATGATGTTGGTCAAGTGCGGTTTGTACTCGAGACATAAAGCCTCATTTATGGGGCTTAGACGTCGTTGATGCGTCTTTGAGAAGCGAAATTCAGTCACTGTGGGCTAGAGTAGGGACTGAGACAAATTTCATGCTTATGCATCGATCAATTCGAAACTTCAACTTCCCTCCCGTGGAAATTGAACTCTTGAAAATTAGTTCTTCAAATTCCAACCCACGGAGCCAAAATTATGTTCAAATGCCCTACCCAAGTTCATTTTTTTCTTTGAAAAGGGAAAACTCGGGCGACTCACGGGTATTTTACTGTCGTCCGTGACTGGGGAATGGGAAATTTGAACCTTACGTGGCTGGGGTGGGGAATTTGAACCGGAAATGTAAGTCTTTCTAGAGGGCTAAAGAAGTAAAGGTCTGCAAGGTCTAGAGTTTTAAAGCTCGGTAAATGAGTGGAAAGTCACGGATTGGAATTTGTTTTGTCGATTTGACAAACTTTTTAAAAGCGATTTTTCTAAATGATATCGATTCTGAATATTTTTTTGGATTTACAAAATATTTTTGGATTGTCCCTTTTCGGCTTCTGTACCTGTCTTATTGCCATCAAAAGTTACGTGAAATATGGTTTCTTCCGTTTTCGCTACAACCGACAGTTCAGTGATGAACAAGGATTCAATTCGAATTCATAGTTTCGTTTTTCACATAGATTAGGTGTACAGCTTGTTTAAGGCCATAGAAAGAAGTTTTAAAAAAATATCCTTCACGAACAGCCTCTCAAAGCAAAATAGAGTTTAGAGCAAACTCAATTAGCGATTGCCCGCGCATTCCAACGAGGTGACGTTTATTTCAAACAAAACTCAATTCATGTCTGTGCCTTTAATGAGGGCGCTTCGTGTGTACATTTTGCGCTCACCGCTGGTGAAAAAAAGGAAGGAAAGGAAGTATCCCGAAAGGTTGAGTTTCCTTTATACTGATAAGAACACTGAAACATACGAAAATTAAATTAAGACCCACTCAAAAGCATGATATAATTTACGTAATATCTAACGAAGAATAGCTCGACCGTTGGCGTGACAAGGAGGATCAACTGCAAATGTTGCTTACAGGCTCAGATTTTGAGCAAGTCACCAATCACCACCAAACAAACCAGGTTGGAATTCGCAAGAATCTTTTCTTTTCCGAAATTTTCGTTCTCAAAACGGTATGCGAAATCAACCCTTCCGAGCGTTAATACCGGATCTATTGTTTACATTCATTAGGTAACCAAATATTTATCCCATTGCAACAATGTCGCCCAGACATATTTGCTTTTGCCCAAAATCAACAGTTACTTCCGTAATATTAGGAAAACTTCTGGAATTTGCTTTCACTCTGGACGAAATGAGTACTTGGACTTTATTTCTGATCGGTTAGCTGCTTTAGGAGCTGGTCCCAAATAAAGCTAATTCATCATAGATTAACAACTTTTCTCCTTTGACCTTGACATTTCCCCAATTTTTTTATTAATGGAATCAATTCGTCCATAAACAAAGATTGTTCCATATAAATGGCAACTTCTGGATCGAGGTAACATTGGAGATATCAGGCTAACAAGTTGGGGTGAATCTTTTACTGTTCAAGGCGGCGCAAAACGACCTTCGAACATTGAGATAACCTGTGATCAAAATCTGTTATCTCCCACATTTTTTCCAGTAAATGTTAAGAAAAAGGATAGATCTTTTCATATATTTCAAGAGATTTTAGGAAATCGTTCCGACAGTACTGAAGTCGAAGTCATAAGAACACCTTCGATAGGCCATATTGGCAGGCAAGTATGGGCGGACTTGGTCGGCTTTATCGATTTTTTGCCAAGCAAAAACAACTGGAACTTTTTAATACCCAATTCGTGGTTATGACTCTAAAATTAGCCATCATACCAAATTTCAGCCAAATCGGTAATGTTAAGTGGCCGCGATTTTTTTAAAAAGTTCGAAAGTTGAAGGCTACTGCTCTTAAGTATGTTACGTACCAAAAGATACCTACTGGTACCTGACTCTGCCATTTAGAGACTGTCAGAGACCATGGAGCTTTGACTTCCATTTTGGCGCTGTCTCCTGTTGTAAGCCTCGCCATTTGGTTTCCTTAAAGCTTTTTCAAGCTGTTCCCAGAAGTAAGGTTTCACATTGCAGTTTTCCCAATCCAGGTAGGTTGTGTCTTGAAGCGCAAATGGTATTTCACAGTTCTTGTACATAACTGGTACAACCTGATGATATCGCACCCTGGCAAGCGCCTTGTGTAGCTCATGTGTACACCAATCACTCTTAATGAAATCTGGGGAAAGTACTGCAATTGTTTTTTTACTGTAGCAAATTGCTTCAGTGATATTTTCCATTATTGGTGCTCCAATAGCAAAATTCTTAAAATCAATACAGCACTTGAAACCTCGGTTTTCAAGCTCAGCATGAAGTTCTTTCACCCAGTCAACATCTTTGTAACAGTAGCATATAAACACGTCATGCTTTGGTTCATAATCTGAAACAAAATCAAACCAGTTGTCATGTTCCAACCAGGCTTTTGATAAATGCACAACTCATGCTAAGCAACAGCATTTTTATTTTGAAGTCTTATGTTCTGCTCACAAAGGAAGAAGGGAATATGCAAAGTAAAAACAAAGAATGAAAAAAAATGTAAAAATTGAAAACAAACCTTAACAATGCAACAACACAGGTATAATGATGCAACATTAATCCTTTAACTCCCATGAGTGACCAACACAGAATTTCTCCTTACAATATCAATACAATATCAAACAGATAAGTGATGAGAATAGAGAAAAATATCAATTTGGGGATAATTAGTTGATCCAATACTAAATTCTCTGAACTAACATTATATGAATTGCCTGGTTGACAGTAAGGAGAATTTGAAATTGGATCTGGGAGTTAAAAGGGTTAATGTAGTGAAATAAAATGAATATGATTCAATTAAACATCTTAAACTTAAACAAGACAAACTTGCAAATGGTTGGACTGACATATGGCAAAGAATACAGTAGCTGTTTTAGTATATTGAATGAAAATTCCTGAAAGGGGGCTTTCATTTAAGTATTATTTCTGCTAAGTCATCGGCTGGGTATAGATTAGATTGTTGTAATAAACATTGCAAAATAAAAGTTACTGAATACCTATTTCTGGCAACTGTCTCAAAACTTCAGCACACTCAGCATTCTCTACATCTCCATTCTCAGCTAACATTGGCTGGCACCCTGAATTACAGCTTTGTCTTGCAGAAGAGAACCACAGCCAACGTTTCTTCTTTGCGATAAATGATAGAAATGCTGCAGCCATGATAAAAACCACACCACAAACCACGCCTATGGCAATCTCGGTGACATATTGTGATGTTGAAGTCAACACTGGTTAAAAGTAAAATAAGTTATTTGAACTACACAGGTCAAAAAAGCATATACATATATGAAATTCAGATCTCAAGATACCATTAGGGTTCAAAGGCAAAACAAAAAGACCCAAGCACAAGCAGACCTCTCTAACTTTGATTTAGGGATCCATGCAGTACCTTTTCTTGTACTACTTGGATCTTCTCCTGGACACTCAGTTTCATTTACATTTGGTCGTATACCACTTGGATTCTTTGATGAATTAGTAAAGAAAGGACATGGTTTACAGGCTTGTTCAGATGTTTCACCAATGTTTGGCTGGTATGTTCCTTGAGGACATGGAATGCGACCATGTCTTCCTGGAGGGCAATAAAAACCTGCTGAACATGGTCCTGCAATATAATTCAAAACAACAGTTGCCTATAGCTTGTATGTTCTGTTTTCCCAATGTACACAATTTACAAAAGATAAAGGAGGGAATTTCCTTGAGCTCCATTAGGGAAAATAAAACACAAGCTGAAAAGATATATCTGCATGGCTCTGAGCTAAACCTTATATAACCACACAATTTGATGGCCAGAAAAAAACAGTTGATTAGTCCCTGGAAATAAAATATTAATTTACAGAAAGAAAAGTGTACCTGATAATTCAAGGAGAAGGAAATAAATTCATTTAAGACAACAATGAGAATGTTTTTCTCATTTGACCCCAGAGCATTAACTTGAAGTAATCAAAACATCACAACCTCCTTCATATCATTCAAACAAAGGTTCCCAAATTGGCACCTGACTCACTACAAACTTGGAAACCAAAATTTTTTTCTCTACCCACCATGCATGGTGACCAAAATAACTGCTGCAATAGAAATCTTGAGCTTGCATATTTGTTTAACAATTTCAAGCCTCAGGAGAATTTCCCAGGGCTTTATCATTTGTAAATTATGCATACAGTACATACATTCATGTAAATATGCACGTAAATAAGAGGAAAGTTGAAAGAAACATCAGTTCTCCAGGAAAATAATATTATCACACAACCTGAAATGAGGAAACAAAACATAAAAGCTACAAAAGTCTCCTGGGGTGCTGATTTGTGGAACCAAAAGTGTGAACTTCAAATGACAGAAGAAAATTTGATCCTATGTCCATGCATGAATCATAAATATCATAACATTTTGTAATGCAGCTGGAAGACACAGATAATAAATCAACTCACAAGATTTACAAATTTAAATCGGTTCTCCACATAGTCATCACAAGTATGAATGAGTCAATCTTATCTTATAAGACCATTAACTTCAAGCATGACCAAAATGAATACCAACACACTCATGAAAACAGCTGATGAGAAGATATAATTAATATTAATAGCAAAACATTAAGTAGAGGATACTATTTTGCAATTAAGTATTTCTGGAGGGAAGCAGAATAAGATTGGGGGTTCATAAAAACTAGCAGGTGATACATCTCCACACAGAGTAGATGGTACAGTACAAAAAAATACTAAATGAATGCAAGAAAGAGTAATTTACCATACCAACTTCAAGAAGAAATGTTTCCCTTGATTCCTGTTCAGATTTGAAAGCAAGACAAGTGTAGTTTCCTGCATCTTCCATGGTGACATTCTTAATTTCCAGATTAAAAACAAAGTTGTTAGGCGTATCTTTTTTTCCTAAATAGAAATATTCATACTTCAGTAGTTCACCATCCTCAGATACCCTTTCATTGTTCTTCAAAAATGTACCACTCATATCATCAAAGCCTTGTATGCTGCAAGTTATGTTGACTGTGGTTCCAATGTAGGCTGTGTCCCCATGCTCAAGTTTTGCATACTCTATAACTGGGGGACCTTTAACTAAAAATTAAAATAGACAACTTTGTAAGAATAAATTGTTACTGCAACCTTTTCCTTGTACTCGAAGCCAAGTCAGTGTATTCGATTATAATAGATTTCATTGTATTTAATCCTGCAGTTCCAGTCTATCTGCACCAACAAGAGGTTTTGTAATCAAATTTAAAGATGTTTTACAAGCTATTTTAATTTGTTCACTCTTCTACATTCATGGTTCTAAAAGATTGCACTAAAAACCTATAGCCTGTACAGCAAGGTCAATGCAGAAGGTTGGTACAAAAATTCCATTCTCAACTCAACCCTATGGCTTTCAATGTTTCAACCAACAATTAAATGTAATTTACCAAAATGTGGCTCTCTCCCATTATTTTACCCAGCAAAATATAAAGGAATAGTCTATACCCCAGTACTAAATTATACAGTGGTAAAAAAAATCAAAAGAAAAATATATCAAATCTGCATCAATTTATTTTAAAAATTTTTTCTTAATGTCTGTACCTTTTTTCAGGTCCTTAGAATAACTTTCCTTATTTCTCTACTTTTTCACAAATTCCATCATCCAGCTGAATGCACAGAAGACATCGTAACTTATTTAATGTCTTAGGAGATACAATATGTGGCCAATTACCCCTGCCACAATAATTACCCTATTTGCTGAAAGGTCTGCCAAAATTTCTTGCTGTTCTTCACCCAAAATCTACTGTCATCCATCTCCAACTATTCTTTGCTTTCTCAGGCAAAGAAGACATCAAATCTTGTGTTTGGTCAAATTCTATGTTGAAGTGTGGCAATGAAGTGCATCAATTTAAAATTTACTAGTTTTCTTTTAAATGTCTTATGACATGATTTCATATGATTGAAGACAACAGTTTCCTAAACCAGTCAAACACAATAGAGAGATAACTCTAAATATAACACTTGACCCTGTTCAGTCTGCACCATAATTTAAGGATAATAGTTTTTCCTTTCAATTTAGGGCAAGCTGGCAGCTACAGGCATGTGTTATACTTGGGTCTTAGTGGTGAGGGGGGAAAACCTTGCTCTAAAGATTATACTACAGACCTTAGGCATGGTTACCTACCTCTCACGAGCAACTTAACGGTATATGAATAATTTTTCCCCTTCTCGTTTGTCACAACACATGTGTAGTTTCCTTCATCTTGTTTTGAAATCATTTTGACCTCTAAATTTCGATTGCAGGAAGTAAGTTTGTATTTCCAATTTTTTCCATCCAGAGAAATAAGTTTGCCATTAATCAGCCATGTTACATTTGCCGAAAAATTTGAATAGACCTTGCATTCAAATGTGTAGCTGTCATCCAAATCTCTTGTTATGGAAGATCTAGGGCTCATTTTTATATAGGGGTCTGCATCATCTGAGGGGTGAGGGGATCCTGGAATGATTCCATTATTACAATTTCCTGTGTCACGTCTGTGCCTCTTTGATAAAAAGTACACTAAATTAAAAGACAATCAATCAATTAATCATTAATAAGTTTGTGAACTGGATATTTTACAAATAACTGAATGATTTAATATTATTTCAAACTAAAAAAGAGTTGGTTCTGATAATGTATGAAGTTAATAACCACAGGTTACCCTGACTTTGCATCAATATCCACAATTAATGACACAATTCAAAAGCCTAGGCTGCTCAATAAACCCATCTTTGTAGTACTGAATATAACTGTTGCAATTACTCTTTACATACAACATACCCTATCAGAAATAATATATTTCAACAATACCCTTTAAAAGATTTGTTGAATCACTTTTTGCTGATTGGACATGCACATGACCAAGATTGTTACAAAATAGACACGGCAGCAGTTTGATATTCGCACTTGTCATTTCAGCGGAGCTAGTGTTTCATGGCTACTTATCATGTTTGCCATGGCAAAAAAAATAACATGTTATTTGATACATACTATGATTTAGACAGAAAAGGAATAAGTTCTGCTGTAAGAAACCAAAGATTTAGGGGCAAACTGGTGGAGGTGAGGGCAAACTCACTTTCCTTCAAGGGTGAACTCTTAAAGGTGGTAGGGGGAAACTTGCAATAGGCAAAACCTCCAGATACCTCTAAGATTGACAAGCTTCTAAACTGCTTGATCAGAGACAAAGAGACTAAGGTCATAAGAGGAAAGGAAACAACTGCCAGCTTCATGATGATCTTGAACGTTAAGCAAATTCTCCTTATACAGAGGATGTGCACATTTTTACAATAAATAGATTGAGTCACTCAACAGACCTAATTCTGGCATTTGCATTGTACATGAGGTAAATAACAATAATGAATGCCTCTCCACTTTCATTTCTGATATTGAAATTTTTAATATTTCACTATGTGAAGACCTGGTTATAGTCTTGAATCACAATAACAATCCAAAGAGGGTGTGACAAGCAGCCATACTGTAAGTCAGATATCTTATTTGCAAATTGTGCCAGCAAATTCACCACAGCAATAAATTTGGGAATAAAAGTTTTGCATGTATGTAAATGAAACTGCTATACAAAGAACTCTTTAACCCTTTAACTCTTAAGATCTAATTGAAGATTCTCCCCTTAGTAACAAGAATTTAATGTTAGATCAGGATTAAAAAGACCCTGAATTATCTGTAAACTTTTAAAGCTGATTGTGCTGAGTGTAAGCTTCACATAAAATAAAGTATTGTATGGTATCTCATAACCTGTTTGCTGAGTAATGTATGAATATTGTGGGGAGAAATTACATGTTGAACACTTCTGGGAGTTACAGGGTTAAAAAAGGCCTTGAATCTGATAGGGATGAGGCAATTTACCTTATCTCCATTATCATCATTCATCGTTTTTTTACTGCAATTCCTTAAGCACTACTTTCTTGCGAAGGCTTTGAAGTGACATCAAATCAATTATAAATCTCGGAACTATAATTTGAAAGCGGAAGTTTCGAGGTGAAATCAAATTTACTGTAACTTCTCGATAGGACTAAAGGAAGGCGTAAAATGAGTCCTTGGAATCTATGCCTCACTACTGCAGTGAAATGGTAACCCTCCTCCTCCATCACTAACTTTTCCAATTTCACAACTAATTGGGCAATAGAGTCCACTCTGACAGAGGTTAAACAAATTTATCACAAGAGATCTCCACAAAGCTAAGCTTAACAAATAACATTAGAGTAGCTCCGTAATTTTAACATAAAACTTAAATTGCACCGAAATTGCAACAAGCTCACCTTTTCCACACTCCTCTAGGTAAAAAGCTTTCCCTGGGCAAACATAAAGTTTTGGATCGTTTTGATCACTACACGTTACCACAAGCACATGGCCACTCACTCCTCGCCTGTCCGTGCAAGGACAAAATACCGTTTGGCTACGGCATTGCGATCTCTGTTCCCGTTGTTCCGATAAAGCAGAGGTAAATTCCACTCCGCAAAATACAAAAAGTAATAGAAGTTCCTTCGCAAGCATAGATCGGTTCACGTGTCTAGATCTTAGATCTTATCAAACCTACTCGGAATTCCCGGAAAGACTGGGCCTGCTAGAATTTCGAAATGGTTTTAGATGAAGCCTGCGTCTTCGTAGAGGACTCTTCTCAACAATTCCAAAATACAGTTTCCTCTTTGGGATCTGAAGGAAAAAATGCTTACGCTGCTTATGCTGATTTAGCAAGACAACGGAACCTCACTTGACGACGGCACGCGCAGTGCAAATACCCAAATATGGTCAAATTAGAACAGAATCCAGACTAATCCGCTCGCTCTCCCCCGCATCTGACGTTCCCGTCCTGTTGCTAAATCAGCCTATCTTCTACTGAGGACTTCCTGTGATACTAAAGGGGATGTCTGAAGCATGATATTTGTCGAGGTGTCTGCTTTTAAGAGGTCTTAAGGACCTGACTGCAACATTAAAATATTTATTTCTCGATAAGGTTTCTTTTCAAACGGTGGGAATGCCGCCCCCGTCGAGTTCTGCTACGAGTTCCCGTCACTGTACACTTTCTCACAGTCTTCTCACGAGAGAAGAACTTCTCAGAGGATACCTTGTATTGAAAAGAAAATTGGAAAATTTGATGACTTTGACGGCTGTATAACCATCTCTTGACGAAAACAACTTTTTGATAGTTTACTGTATGGTGATTCAGTATTGCGAGCAGGACAGAGAATTATCTGGTGGATAACGCTTTCGAGCCTTCGAACAACCAAAGGCAGGTATTTCTATCCCATCGATATCTTCCAAAATATTTAAGTTGGAATGTAAGTGCCGGATATTTTGTTTCTTCCCGAAAAGAGCATACATTCCGTTGACTTCTAGTTTGAAATACTGATAACTTGAAAATTCCGTCAGATCGAATAATATTCAGACCCTTCAGGTCATTTTTTCAGTTCAACTCTATCCTCATATTTTCAGATCTGTTGTTTCTTAGCCAGGAACGCGGAACTTGTTTCTGATTATCACTTCTCTACCTTTTGGGAAAAAAAACCGTTGCCGAAGGGAACAGCGAAGTTCGGACGACCACCACAAATCGTATAAAAAATTTGAATCCTCTTTATTGTTCTGGATACTTGATTCAGACCTTGATTTAAATCGCAGTTGTACAGCTTGATTATTCGATCAAGGAAAGTCAAAAGACGGTTGATTCGAACAGATGTGGTCTTTTGTGACCTTGAATCCATGCAGAAAAAGGATGCTATAAATTAGCATTATCAAAGCAACTTCCGTGACGGTGTCACAACGGATATGGACCCCCCTTCGCAGATTTGGACCCCCCTACCAAAATTTCCTTTTAAGCATCCTTTGTGTCATATTTGGTAACTAATTCTATTTGCAAGCTTTTTTGTCGATGTTATTTTCAATCACAACACAACATTTCCTCAATAAAGGTAAAAAAAAACAACAGCCATTTCGTTCCAATTCTACCGCATTCATTATAGCGAGTCGAACAGTATACGCAAGAATTAGATGTGAACAAACTACTGCATTCGAACTATTGAAATTGTTACAATAAATCTTTGCTTCTTCTGATGCGAATCAACATTGGTACGAAACGTCATAACAATAGTGGAGACTATTGCGTCCAGTCACTGAAATAACTCAGTCTCATTTTCTAAAATCATAACATTGAACAGTTTTTGAATAAGAACGAAGAAACTACTCGTATTACAAGTCGTTCGTAAAGCCTATGATAAGTAAAAATGTTTCTATTCTGAACTATTGGAACTCTCAGCTTATTTTCAGATGCAAATCAACATTAATGTCAACGTCTTAACAAAAGTGGAGACTATTACATCGAACTCAATCTTATTTTCTAATTTTAACGATTATTAACTGTTGAGGGATCCTAAATAACACCTTAACAATTACGAAGACGTCTAGAGTCTGTCAATCTGCAGACAATGCAGAGTCACTCGTCCTCCGGGGCAGTCTTAAATCCCACGCAGCTCATGTGTAACCTTTCCTCGCACAACTCGCACTGTACCATGTCGTCCCAACACTCAGGCATTGGACAATGACAAAATAAATTAGTGTCACAAGTTTGTCTCTCATTGAATCTAGCGGTGTTCGACTATCGCGGAAAAGGTTCAAAACGACCTCTCTCCAGACATTAAACTAAATTCTTGCCCATTTTCCTCTGGTCAAAAGAAACATCCGACGGGATGCCAGTTCGTATGCATTAACGATACGCATGTTTTGAATTAAAAACATACTTTAGTACGCATTGGAACGAAAAGTATCATCCATTTTTACTAGAACGTTAAGGATGATGTGTTCACTCAGTTTTGTTGGGGGGTCCAAATCCGCGGTGGGGGGTAGCGGATTTGGACCGGGAGGTCCAAATCTAGGGGGGTCCAAATCCGCTGGGACAACGGATCGTATCGTAATTCGCAGACTTACAGCTCAGATATGTCTAATTTGTATTATCTTCTTCTGAGGACTTCCTGTGATACTAAACTGGTTAAAATACAAAACGTTCGCGGTTCAAATCATTTTGGAATCAAATATCAATCATACTGAAAGGAAATCGTTGGTTTTAAAAACGATGACGGCGATTTTATTAATAAACGAAACAAAAACGAAAACCGGAAATCTGTCTGTGCTCGTGGGCTTCAAATTCATCCAATTTCTTACTATTATAGTACAGATAAGAACCTATTTATTTATCACATCTACGATAATATCTAAGTTGGGATTAGGTGTAGGCCGTTTTTGTTTTCCCCGAACAGAGCATTGACTCAGTTGATTTCTGGTAAAGAAACTCCGATAATTCGAAACTTTCTTTAAATCGAGGTTCCTTTCATACCCTTCCGGTAATTTTCTATTTACCCTCAGTGATTTATAATTAAAGCACAACGTTGTGCTATTTTCAGATCTGCTGTTTCTGGTCTGGAATTTCTAAGTTGTTTCCGATTGTTGATACGCTTTGTTATTTTTAGCGTGAGAGAAAAACAACAACGGACATCTGCCTGTGTTCTGGTGGCTACTCGTTTCAGTGGGTCTCAATTAATGGGGCGAACCGTTAGCCGCAAAACGGCAAAAAACCTAGCCGATAGGCATAAAAATTGAAAAATGTTAACCTTCAGTTGAAGAAAAAGTCAGTAACTATAAAAATTTTGCTATGTATCTTATCGTTTCGCGCCCAGTCTAATCGTAATGACATAAGTCCTTGCTATCCAAGGGTCACTCAGCAAGGATTTACCAAGTTCTTTAAGTTTTTATATCCTTTCTGGTGTATCATAGAAGTTTTGTTAATGTAGTTAGCGTGTTATTTCGGCCATTGGTAAAAGTAATGAGGGCCGGAAGGGAAACTATGACGAGAGACTGCAAGCGATAATAGTTACAGTGTAGGTGGAATCCACAAGGATTTTCTAAGGGCCAAAAATAGAACTAACATAAAATCAGAAAATGCTGATCATGCTTCGCTAGATTAAAAGCAGATGGTTCCAATTCCTTTCATGCAAACGGAAGAAGCATTAAGGAATGTGAAAGGAGCGTGAGCCGCGTGAGGGCCTAGGGCGAGAGCGAGCAAAAAAAGTGCGACAAGGCTGGAGGTGGGTAGTCTCTTCACAGGCACAGGCGAACCAACCTACGGCAGTGTCGATATATATGATATTACAGATAGATATGACGAACTGTACAGCTGTTACGAAGTTAGCACAAAATAAAGGGAAAAAATAATCACGTATCTTGATCTGAAAATCTCAAGAAAGTGAAATGAAATGTAAATGCACAGTGTTTTTTTGTCTCTCCAAAGAGTTCGAGTCGTCTCTTTACTGAATTAGTTTCTTTAAAATACTATTTTAAAAATGGTTATTGAAAACGATTCTCTCAGTACAAAAGCAAGTTCTTTGATGCATAATTAATTAAGAAAACTAACAGTGGAATATCACCTAATCTTTTAACTCCTAAGATCTCATTAGTAATTCTCCTTACTGTTTGGCAAACGATTCTCATTACGTTAGTTTTAAGAATTTGGTATCGGATCAATTAGTAATCCCATGATTGATATTTTTCTTCATTCTCATCACTTAATAGTGTATTGACATTGTAAGGAGAAATTTTGTCTTGGTCACTCATAAAGGTTGAAGGGTTAAGAGCGATTGTCCGAAACTGTCGGACTGAGTCGGACAGACAGGTTAACTGATTTGGCTCAAATTTCACTTTTATGCTTGCTTAGGGTCTCCTTTTAAGAAATGGTTATTTTAAGACTGAAATTAATTTTGCGTGGGGAATTAAGGCTCATAGCCATTTGAAGCCGCCATCAGACATGGAAACGAGGCTGACCAAGAGAGGGTTTTAAATGCCTGGGCTTCCTTTGCTCTCTCATTTTTGTATTTTTTTTTATTATAAAACAAACCCACAACTCTTCGTCTGTATTTTGAACAGTAAATTTCGCAGAAATATATAAGGAAAAGGGTTGAAACACGCCATTCGAGTTACTTAATATTGGGTGTTTTATGATCGATGAAAAATACCGTAAGTTCAGAAACTTCTGGCACTGTTGATATGTCGAGTTAGAGCAATTTGTTAGTTTCTAAAACAACATTTGTCAAAGATTATTTGCTTCAGAAAATTTAGAACTGGACAATTTTAATGCGCTCCCACACTGCCCAGTAAAATATTATAAGGTTCTTGGACGCAGTCGCCCTAAGTTGACTTTGTCCGGAGCATTTCGGTTCAAAAACTCGATTTCTTTCAAACTTTGCCTATTAATCTTTTGCGGTCTAAGAGTTTACCAAATGAATGTTTTCCACACCAGCTGTCTTCTTTCTACATTGTTTTTGATCAAAAAAGTGCTTTTGTGACTTTCGATGGAAATTGGTACCCTATGCACCATCTTTGCAGAAGTTCTCCACCCCAAGCAAGGTGCAGATCCCAGAAGGACGATGTGCGCCAGCCTCGAACCCTGAGACTTTTCGACTCTGCGCATTACGCACGCGTTGTGCTTCAGCACGCGGTGACGTGGATACGCCTGTAATGCAGCTGACTACGCATGCTTAACGAAGCATCAAACAAATTCACCTCGAGGAGAGTGCTCCTGAGATTTATGCAAATCTTGCGCAAGCGCTGTGTAGATGTGCCCACGATGCAGCCAGCCGCGCATGCTACAAGTACAATCTTCTTCATGCAGTCGCATGCTGCCAAATTTTCCAGGCTTGATCCCTTATTTCCTATTTTTGTTGGTATGCAAAAAATTAATTAATTTTAGAGGCTGTATAGATTGAACTTTCTTAATGCAATATAATTTATTTAAAAAATTAGCTCTAAATCACTAATTCTATAAATTTCAACATTTACCTTACTATTAAAAAAGGGGAAAAGCCAAAATCAGCTGTCATACGTAGAAATCGAGAACGAATAATCTACTTACGATTCACATCTACTTGTCATTCAAAACTTACTAGCATGACAGGCTCATAATTAACTTTTACTTTGTCTACAGCTACACACTGTTAGTCTTCTTAACAAAGCAAGACAATTACATCGTCTGTTTTAAAAGCAAGCAGCAAATGAATTTCATAGTTTCACAATATGCTTGTTTGCCAGGTTGAAAGAACCAAACAGTGTACGTTAATTTTTGTCTTTTTAATTTTTGATTCAATTCCTGAAAGGGGGCTGGGGTTACTTAACAGATTAAATAGCTTTCATTTAAGTACTTTCTTGCTAAATCATCAGCTGGGTATAGATTAGATTGTTGTAATAGACATTGCAAAAAGTTACTGAATACCTATTTCTAGCAACTGTCTCAAACTTCAGCACACTCAGCATTCTCTATATCTCCATTCTCACTTAACATTGGCTGACAAGGGAAACACTCTGGATTATGGCTGTGTCTCGAGGAAGAGAACCACAGCCAACATTTCTCTTTGCAATGAATAATGATAGAGACGCTACAACTATGATAATAAAAAAGTGCAACCCATGCCTATGGCAATCTTCATGACATCTTGTGATATTGTAGTCAACGCTGGTTAAAACAAATGGAAAATAAAATGAGTAATTTGAATTACACATGTCAAAAAAGAAAAAATATATACATATATATTTATGAAATTCAAATCACAAGATACCATTAGGGTTCAAAGGCCAAACGAAAAGACCAAAGCACAAGCAGTGGTTACAGTTTCATTTTCTTTATCTGAATGGTTGAAGAACTAAGTTGCAGACCGTTTCTTGAAACAGATTCACAAAAGCAAGTAGGGCAAAATGCTCTCTCTAACTTTGATTTACACATCCATGCAGTACCTTTACTTGTAATACTTGGATCTTCTCCTGGACAGTCAGCTTCATATACATTTGGTCGTATACCACTTGGATTCTTTGATGAGTTAGTAAAGAAAGGACATGATTTACAGGCCTGTTCAGATGTCTGGCCAATGTTTGGCTGGTATGTTCCTTGAGGACATGGAATGCCACTAGCCATTCCTGGAGGGCAGTAAAAACCGACTGGACACACTATACAGTCTAGCTCAGATGTCTGCTTAATGTTTGGCTGGTATGTTCCTATTGGACATTGAATGAGACTAGTTGCCCCTAAAGGGCAATAAAAACCTGCTGGACATGATTTACAGGCCTGTTCAGATGTCTGACTAATGTTCGGCTGGTATGTTCCTTGAGGACATGGAATGCGACCACGTCCTCCTGGAGGGCAATAAAAACCCGCTGGACATGGTTCTGCAATACAATACAAAACAACAGTTACCTATACCTTTATGTCTATTTTCCCAATGAACACATAATTTACAAAAGATAAAGGGGGGAATTTCCTTTAGCTTTCCATTGGGAAAATAAAACATACAAGTTAAAAAGGTATATCTGTATAGCTCTGAGCTAAACCCTGTATGGATTCACTATTTGGTGGCCAGAAAAAAACAGTTGATTAGTCCTTGGAAATAAAATATTCACAGTTAGAAAAGTGTACTTCAGAATTCAAGGAGAAGGAAATAAATTCATTTAGGACAACACTGAGAATGTTTTTCTCATTTGACCTTGGAGCATTAACATGAAGTAATAAAAAAAATCACAACTTCCTTCATATTATCCAAACACAGGTTCCCAAATTGGCACCTCTCACAGACTGCAAAATTAGTAGCCAAAATTTTTCTCTACCTGCCATGGTGACCAAAATGATTTCTACAGCAGAAATCTTGAGCTTGCATATTTTGTTTACCAATTTCAAGTCTCAAGACAATTTCCAGCCTTACTGTTTGTAAATGTTCCTTTGGTAAATGCATACAGTACATACATGCATATAAATATGCACGTAAATAAGAGGAGAGTTGAAAGAAACATCAGTTCTCCAGTAAAATAATATTATCACATGACTTAAAATGAGTAAACAAAACATTAAAGCTAAAGAAGTCTCCAGGAGTGCTGGTTTGTGAAACCAAAAGTGTGAACTTCAAATGACAGAGGAAAATTTGATCTTTTGTGCATGCATGAATCGTACATATCATAAAATTTTGTAATGCAGCTGGAAGACACAGATAATAAATCAACTCACAAGATTTACAAATCAGTTCTCCATATTGTATCCAATAAGTTTTTAATATTTTCAGCTCTGAGAATCTAGGCAGAGGACAATAAAGTATAACCTGGTGAATATTCCTCTTTCTTCTCATTTCATTTCTTCTTGAAATTGTATTGATTCAGTGAGGAGAAATTCCTCTTTGGCCACTCCTGAGAGTGACAGGGTCAAGCCTAGGTGTGCTAAAGAGGTCTCCTGGATCCAAGTATCAATTCTCTGCACTGTCTACAAATACATTTTTTAAATTAAGGTCTTCTGAGATACTTGTTTTAAGTTTATATGTTTCCTTTTTTGTCATCACCTTTCTGCTTGAAAAATTATGGATTAGTGTTGGAAGAAACTACTTGAACTAGTGGCACATGGGAGTGAAAGGATTAAATTAAGGGAAAAATCCCCAAACAATTAATTGTAAAAACTGTGATATTGCTTTATTGTCTTATGGGAGCTCAGTCGGGAGGAATTTTCAGAGCTGGAAAACAATCCCCCTTGAAAATACACATTTTTAGTTCAACAGTGTTTGACCCAACTCTAGTCCCTTTCAACTCAGCACCATATTCTGTTGAAGGCTTTTCATTTCTTCTCTAACTATTGAAAACGGCTATGTTTATTTCCAAATCATGAAAACAGTGAAATTCCCTTGCAGATTTCCTGATAAAATCCACACAAACAGATGTTTTAGATTTACAATGTATAAAAGTCAGGAATGAGAAATAGTCATCACAAGTATGAATGAGTCAATCTTATCTTATAAGACCATTAACTTCAGGCATGACCAAAATGAATACCAACACACTTACGAAAACAGCTGATGAGAACATATAATTAATGTTAATAGCAACACATTAAGTAGAGGATACTATTTTGCAGACATGCATGTATTTCTGAAGGGAAGCAGAATAAGATTGGGGGTTCATAAAAATTAGCAGGTGATACATCACCACACAGAGTAGATGGTACTGTGTAAAAAAAACCTCAATAAATGCAAGAAAGAGTCATTTACCATACCAACTTCAAGAAGAAATGTTTTTGTTGATTTCAGTCCATATTTGGAAGCTTTACATGTGTAGTTTCCTGCATCTTCCATGGTGACATTCTTAATTTCCAGATGGAAAACATAGTTGGGAGGTGTAACTATTACTCTTGGCTTGAAATATTCATACTTCTGTAGTTCATCATCCTCCATTACTATTATGTCATTCTTCAAGAAATAGCCAATTACACCATCAAAGCCTTGGATTTTACAAGTTATGTTGACTGTGGTTCCAATGTAAGCTGTGTCCAAACCATCAAGTTTTGCATACTCTATAACTGGGCCTCTTGGTACTAAAATTAAAATAGACAACTTTGTAAGAATCAAATGTTACTCAAACCTTTTCCTCGTATTCAAAGCCAAGTCAATGTATTCAATGATAATAGATTTCATTGTATTTAATCCTGCAGTTCCAGTCCATCAGCACCAACAACAAAATGTTTTGTAAGCAAATTTGATGACTTTTTTTGAGCAATTTTAATTTTTTCACTCTTCTACATTCATAGCTCCTTAAATTTAATTAAAACCTATAGCCTGTACAGTAAGGTCAATGCAGTAAGGTTTGTACAAAAATTCCATTCTCAAATTAAACCGATGGCTGCGAATGTTTCAACCAACAGTTAAATGCAATTTACCAAAATTTGGTTGTCTCACAAAAATTTTACTCAATCCATGTGGCAAATAATAGGGATTTCATAGCCTATACCCCAGTACTTAATGCAGCAGTAAAAATATATCATGACAAAAACATATCAAATCTGCATCAATCTACTTTCAAAATTTTTCTTTATGTCTGTACCTTTTTCAGGTCCTAAAAATAACTTTGCTTATATCTTTACTTTTTCACAAATTCCATTATCCAGCTGAATGCATAGATGACATTGTAACTCATTTAATGTCTTGAGAAATACAATACATGGCCACAGCCCTGCCACAATAATTACCCTATTTACGGAAAGGTCTGCCAAACTTCTCTGATGTTTTTTTAACCCAAACTCTATTATCATCCATCTCCAACTGTTCTTTGCTTTCTCGGGCGAAGGAGAGCTCAAATCTTATGTTTGGTCAAATCTCACATTTGTTCAAATTCTGTGTTGAAGTGTGCTAATGAGGAGCATCAATTTAAAATTTATTAGTTTGCTTTTAACATGTGTCAGTCTTATGAGATCATTTCATATGATTGAAGACAACAGTTTTCTAAACCAGTCTGACATACAATAGAGAGATAACTCTAAATATAGCACTTGAGCCTGCTCAGTCTGCACCATAATTTAAGGATAATAGTTTTCCCCTTCTATTTAGGGCAAGCTGGCAGCTACAGGCATGTGTTATACTTGGGTCTTAGTGGTGAGGGGAAAAGCTTGCTCCAAAGATTATATTACAGACCAGGCATGGTTACCTACCCTTGACAATCAACTTAGCTGTAGCTGAATAACTTTTTCCCTTCTCATTTGTCACAACACATGTGTAGTTTCCTGCGTCCTCTTCTGAAATTTGTGTGACATGTAGACTTCGTTTGCAGGATCCAAATTTGTATTTCTCCCTTTTCAGTTTGGAATCCAGAGAAATAAGTATGCCATTAATCAGCCATGTTACATTTGCCGAAAAATTTGAATAGACATTGCATTTAAATCTGTGGCTGCCATCCACATCTCTTGTTATGGTAGATCCAGAGGTCATATTTATATAGGGGTCTGCATCATCTGAGGGGTGAGGGGATCCTGGAATGATTCCATTATTACAATTTCCTGTGTCACGTCTGTGCCTTTTTGATGAAAAGTACACTAAATAAGAAGACAATCAATCAATTAATCATTATAATTAGTTTGTGAATTGGATAGTTTGCAAATAACTGAATGATTTAATATTATTTCAAACTAAAAAAGAGTTGGTTCTGATAATGTATGAAGTTAATAACCACAGGTTACCCTGACTTTGCTTGAATATCCACAATTAATGACACAATTCAAAAGCCTAGGTTGCTCAAGAAACCTTTCTTTACAATACTGAATACAACTATTGCAATTACTCTTTGCATGCAACATACCCTATCTGAAATAATATCTTTCAACAATATCCTTTAACAGATTGATTAAATCATTTTCTACTGATTGGACATGCAAATGACCAAGAGTATTACAAAATACACAAGGCAGCAAGGCATGCAAGGCACAGAGACAAGCTATATAAATGATTTTTAATTAAAAGAACCCTGAGGTATTTCTTTGTGACTTAGCCCTTCAGCTCCTATGAGTGACCAAGACAGAATTTCTCCTCACAATATCAATACAATATCAACCAGATGAGTGATGAGAATAAAGAAAAATGTTAATTTGGGGATAATTAGTTGATCCAATACTAAAATCTTTGACCAAACATTGTGCGAATTGTACAGTTGACAGTGAGAAGAATTACAAATTTGATCTGGGTTAAAGGGTTAAAGAACAATGCTATTTCATCCTATTTTGCTTACTAGTTGTGGGTTAAAGTAAATCCTTTCATGCTTTACAAATTTCTCTTACTGTCAATGTAACAGTTGCTTTCTATAATACTACTAAGTTATGAAAAAAGGATTAATTATGAACTTATAAACATCAGTACCACACAATGCATGATGACTCTCATTCTGCATGCATTTTCCAGCTGCAAAACGATACTTAACTATAACATTTTTTAGTTTTCATGCGTCCTACTGTCTAGTTTTACACTATGCTAATTTACAGTGGCACCTCCAACGTTTAAAACCATAGCGCAAATATTTTATCGTCCTCCCTGATGATGCTGTAGATACGGCGAAAGCTCGGAGTGAAAAAAGAAAGAACCACAGTAGCACTTAAAGGCTTCATTTGATCAATATCCCACATCATTACGACATGCTACTAAAGGACACGTTCAAACGTTTAATAATATTTTTTATATATTTCCATCCAAAGAAATTTTCTTAAAAGTCTTAAAAAAATTTATTTCGCAATGGCTTACATGACCAGCATATCTTGCATGCCTTGCCTAACTGGCTCACTCTTTGTAGCAACCCATAACCAGGTGTGTTAATTAACACACGACTACTGCATCAGTGTTGCAAAGCCCCAACAGAACTCTGGTCTTGACCCAATTGGTTTAACCCTTAACCTCCCAATTGCACTTGTCCTTCGTTGCACCTTCTGTTTCTTGGCTACTTGACGTGTTTGCCATGGCAAAAAATAACACGTTACTTGATACATATTATGCTTTAGACAGAAAAAAATAAGTTCTGTTGTGAGGAACCAAGATGAAAGATTTTAGGGTAAACTCGCTTTCCTTCTTCAATAAAACATTTGGTGGATTGTGTGTGTTGTGCGAATAAATGTAACCAAAAATAAACTGCATTGGTGCCACGGATACCTGTTAGAACAAAATGCAAACTGAAGACTGCAGACCGGATACAAAATGTAGACTAGGTACAAAATGTAGACCGCAGACTGCAGAGTAGGTACAATATGTAGACTGAGAGTTTAAATGAGTTTTCTCGTCTGGTATGTAATAACTTATCATCTTACAACTTACCGAGCGTCACGCAATCTCTTTTCCGCGGTCAGCTTTCACGATTATTTGCACTATTTTGGAATATTCCTGGAACATTCCTTGATGAAAATTGATCGTAATATCATTTCAAGCCTTCATATAGTCTTCTCACTCTGCACGCGAGTTGGTTGATGTGATGTCTGTACAGATTTTATCAACTTTATGAAAGTGGATGTAACTATTGAATATTAAACACGCGCAACATTCGAGAAACAATTGACAGCTTTGCACGTGGTCCGTGACATCATATTTTTAAGCGGTATGTGTTTATTTTGTTGACAAAAGTGCGGACCGAGACCAAAACTTTTTCCTTCGACTTGATATATTTTTGACGTTAGTAGGTCACATCAAATTAACTTACCTCCGTAAATCATTTATTCCAGATAACAAAATCAAATAAACATGTTAACGATGGTATCTGAAATCGTCCTTAGCCAAACACAAATGACTCCACAAGATCACTTTCTCCAGGCATTGAAAACATACACAAAATCGACTATAGATAATTTTAATCAGACATTCATCTAGAGATAGCACTGAGCAAACCAATCCAGAAAAATATGATAGGCACACTCAACAAATCATGAATCTCGCAACACAGCTTGCCGTTAAAAACTGCTCAAATCAAAATGTTTGGTGCAATTCACCAACACCTCAAGCAATATATGATTCAAAATTTTTCCTCTCACTCTCCTCGTGAAGGAACAATAACCATGATCGTGCCACAGTGCACAGAACTCCGTTTTCTCTCGAACAACTATCCACCATTTTTACAGCATGGGTAACACGTTTACTAGAGGTAATCTGATATCTTTTATCTGTCTATTAGTATCGCATTTCTCATAGGGCGCGGTAAAATACACGTTAAAAACACAGAAAAGCCAACATTTCTCATTCTAAAAGTTGATTCCATTTTACGAACCGCTCTCTTCCGAATCCCCTATCACTTCGTTGAAATTTGAACACCTCTCAAACCAAAGAACAATCAAAGTGCTCTGTGAGCAAACTCGTGAATTGACAGATGACTTACATGATTTTTAGGATTATGTTTAATGTTATCTGGTTCAGGGAATTTTGTAGTTGATTGTCATATTTAGAGTACGAGCAGTAGTTCAGTGTTCGCTAATGTAGCAAAGTAACAAAGTAACGTTGGGATAAGAAGGCATTACAATTGAAATGATTATGCCATTACATTTGATAAGGGTGGATGATGTCATGTGTTTTAAACATATATAATTTTTGGTTCTGGTTCAAAAGAGAAGGTTGGAGGTAAATGTGGGTGAAAAGTGAAATTTACTGTCTATCATTGTATATTGGAAAATCGAGGCAATACTGACTTAACGAAAACATTAATGATTCCCTCTTTATCATGATTAATGATTCCCTCTATTAATTTGATTCAGTCTTGAACGACTTCATTCGTTTTAAAAAGAATAAATCAAACAAAAACGAAAAAAAAATGAAACAGAAACACAGTCTTAATCCTAAGTCTAACAGTTTCGTTGGTGACTAGACTGAGTTAATTTCATTCTTTCACGGATAAATAGGAACTCATCGTAAACAACTTCATCTTTGGGTCGCTTGGTTTCTACATGGTCTCCCCATAACTCCTGATAATTCCGTTCAAAATGCATTTCAACTCTAAGAAAGTAGTGCTCAATAGAGATGTACTGTCATGATTGAGAAGAGTATTCAGTAAACAAGGGGAAAAACGACGACGATTTCCAACTTATCCTTTACAAATTATGAAGAAAAACGAGTAGTGGTGAAATCTAGTAGCACAAAAACGAAATGACAGCGACACAAATCATAGAAAAAAATAATTTAGTGGGCTTCAAAATTTGATAGATGAATCAGCAAACTCGATACTAAACTGGAATGGAATAGTTTCAAAGTTTAATCGCCCATGTGGATTTATCTATAACTTAATAGTTTATGGTATTTATAACTATCCTCTGTTTGCGCTTGTTACATAACTCTCAAAGAAGATAATTTCGTTTTCTTTAGAGTGGTCTATAAAACCGAAAATTCAAAGGTGATGGTGATCTTTAAAAAGCTAAGGTGAGGATTCTCTTGCAACGACTGCTAAATCATTTTTCAACACAACGCGACGGCGTTCTCGACCCAGTTTCTTATCGACATTTTTGCTGTACGTGCCGGTGACGTTCCCGTTATCTTGCTTAACCACTATAGTACAAAGCGCAGACAGCAGACTGCAGACCGGATACAAAATGTAGACTACAGACTGCATAGTGGGTACAAAATGCAGACTGAGAATCTGAAGAGATTTTTCGTCTGGTATGTGATAATATTTCATCTTACAACTTAGCTTTCACGATTATTCGCACTATTGTGGAATACTCCTGGCCCATTTCTTGATGAAAATCGATCGTAATATAATTTCAAGCCTTCATATAGTTTTCTCACTTTGCGCGCGAGTTGGCTGGTGTGATGTCTGTACAGATTTCACCAACGTAATTAAATTGGATGTAGATGTCAATGAGATGTCACTATTGAATATTGAACACGCGCAACATTCGAGAAACAATTGACAGCTTTGCACGTGGTCCGTGTTATCATCTTTTAAGCGGCGCGGTATGTGTTTATTTTGTTGACAAAAAATGCAGACCGAGACCAAAACTTTTCCTTTGACTTGAAATATTTTCGACGTTAGTAGATCACATCATAATAACTTACCTCCGTAAATTATTTATTCCAGATAACAAAATCAAATAAACATGCTAACGATGGTATCTGAAATCGTCCTCGGTCAAACACAAACGACCCCACAAGATCATTTTTTCCAGGCATCGAAAACATACACAAAATCGACTATAGAGATTTTAATCAGATATTCATTTAGAGATAGCACCGAGCAAACCAATCCAGAAAAATATAATCGGCACACTCAACAAATCATGAATCTTGCAACACAGCTTGCCGTTAAAGAACTGCTCAAATCAAAATGTTTGGTGCAATTCACCAACACCTCAGTCAAGCAATATTTGATTCAAAATGTTTCCTCTCACTCTCCTCGTGAAGGAACAATAACCATGATCGCGCTACAGTGCACAGAACTCCCTTTTCTCTCGTACAACTATCCATCATTTTCACAGCATGAACAACACGTTTACTATTGGTAATCTGATATCTTTTATCTGTCCAGTAGTATCGCATTTCTCGTAAAGCGCGGTAAAATACACGTTTAAAACACAGAAAAGCCAACATTTCTCATTCTAAAAGATGATTCCAATTTACGAACCGCTCTCTCCGAACCCCTCTTCGTTGAAATTTGAACACCTCTCAAACCAAAGAACAAAAACGGCGCTCTGATTGGTGCGAGATACATATCCTAATGCGGCGATCTGATTGGTGCGAGATACACACCCTAAACGATTTGATTGGTGCGAGCAACATACCACTTTCTGTACGCTAACATAGCTGTTAATTTTTTTTAATAAAAAATAATAACTAAAAAATAGCTCAAATTCTCAATAATAATACCTCGCCTTACTTCCACAGCCATTACTTGTTATCTGACCGCTTACTTTGATGAAAATATCCCATTTTAGCGGGTTGTCCATTCGAGGTTTTCAACGTACATAAGAAAAGCCCTTTTCTATGCTTTTCTTATGTACGTGGAAAACCTGAGAATTTGAACTATTTTTAATTCCTTAGAACGGTCGTAAATATTCTCATACAAACTCTTATAATTCTGCCATGACTAATATAGCGCAAGATGATCATCTCACAGCTGGAGTTTGGGTCGCCTGTGGATTGACAAGCTTCTAAACTGCTTGATAGACAAATAGACTAAAGTCATAAGAGGAAACGAAACAACTGCCAACGTCAGAAAGATCTTGAACATTAAGCAAATTTTCCTTGTCAGGATTTTAACCATTTATCACCCCGAATTGAAAACAAGTAATTTCACTATATGATTCCTATATGTTATCTTGCAAACAAGCCGAGAGAACCAACAAGCTAATTGGCTAAATGAAAATATCTGCTTTGCTTAGTACACAGGAAATATTGGCAGTCAGTAGGAAGAATTACTGATTGGATCTAAGGAGTTAAAGGTTTTAAACACCACTGTGCACATGTGCACTTTCCTTGAGCATCCTCCCCAGGGAGAGATTTAGGGCCCAAAGGAACAGGTTCAACAAAAATTAAAGCTCTTCTCTTGCAGAATTTTGTATTTTAAGGAAATCACAAGAGATCTCTACAAAGTTAAGCTTAACAAATCACATTAAAGTAGCACCGTAATTTAAATATAAACCTTAAATTGCACTGAAATTGCAACAAGCTCACCTTTTCCACACTCCTCTGAGTATAAAGCTTTCCCTCGGCAAACTGGAATTTTTGGATCGTTTTGATCACTGCACGTTACCACAAGCACATGTCCATCCACTCCTCGCCTGTCCTTGCAAGGACAAATTACCTTTTGGTTACGGCATTGCGTTCTCTTTTCCCATTGTTCCGATGTGGCAGAGGTAAATTCCACTCCACAAAAAACAAAAAGTAATAGAACTTCCTTCGCAATCATAGATCAATTCACTTATCTGGACTTTATCAAAACCTCTCGGAAATACCGGAAAGAGTTAAAAAGATAACCTTCTGGGCCTGCTCGAATTTTGAAATGGTTGTAGATAAATACTTGCGTCTCGTAGAGGAGGGGCCTTGGGATTTTCGGTTTTGCGGTTTTGGCTATTTAAAAATGTTTACAACGGTGATCGCGGAAGATAATCAAGCGAAAGTGTCTATGCACGTTTTTTAAATACTCTTCTATAAGGGCCTGGGACCAAAGTAAACACTTAGCACTGATCAGGCAGATGGCAATCTCAAAACCAGAACGTGACTTGAAAACTTCATCGTGGTAAATTAAACTGGGAAAATTAAAATAATGCTTTCACCTGTTTCTCAGCACTTTAAAGAGATCAGCGATTAGACTTGTGGAATGAGCGACACAAACACAGAACTGACGAAGTATCGAAGAAGTTAGTTTAAATGTCTTAGGCGAGACCAGAAATCTGTCTACTTTTCTAAGAGGGTGTATGTGTGTGTGTGACGATTTGCAGAGCTCTGAGATGAGTGTTCGAAGCATGGTATTTGTCGAGGTCTCTGCTTTCACGAGCTTTTAAGAGCCTTAGTGCAATACGAAAATATTTGTTTCTCGATATTGACAGGAGGAGTAAAAAGGTTCCTCTTGAAACGATGGGAATGCCTACCATGCCCGGGAACTTGTAAAACCAACAACGTCGCTGAAAATAACAGATGCGATGCTGTTTTTTTACCATTCGAAAACAAAACTTTTGCTATTGATTTCTTTGTCTCCTGTTTCATTCCCATTCAATTTTCTTAATATTCAAAATCGAGAATGGTCTATTTTAATTGTAAACATAAGACATTGGAACATCTGTTTTTTTGTTTGTTTGTTTGTTTTGTTCTTTTCAGGTGATTTTTCGTCTCCTGTTAACGTGTGCTTTGATTTCAATATCTCCAATTTGCTTTTTTTCACTTTTTATAGATTTTTTTTATATTTTTTATTTCGGCTCTCGGGTAATTTTTTGTTTTGAAATGTACCAGTTGCTGCCCTATTTTAATCAATGATCGTATGACGCCAATTCGTGCCGCCCGCCTGTCGAAAGCAGCCCAACGCTATTTGCGTTTTCAAATAAAAAGTACGTCAAAACCTTTCGTTTTTGAAAACAAGCTTGTTTTGAGAGACAGGCCCTGTAACCAGCGTGCAAATTTCCACCACACGAAGCTTCTTCACGGGCACTGAATTCAACTGACCATGCTAAGATCTGCTGAGATCCTGGGCAAGGTATATCCTGACTCGGGAATTGGGAAGACTCAACGAGCTGAATAGTTCTAAAGTGAGGTAATAAACCGTCACCGACAACTATTGTGGAATACTCAGAATTTGTGTCTCAACGACGGATTCATTTTTTCCTTGATGTTTCGAGATATTTGATCATTAAAAATAATAATGGGGTGGTAACTTGAGATCAAAAATAAAGAAAGAAAGAAATTAGTAAATCCAGAAAGTGACCTCAGCTTTCAAAACCGAATGGCGTTGAATACATTAAAGGAATTATTTTCATTGATCAGCTGTCGTATTTCGCTTTTAAACTTTAAAAGCGAAATAGGAGAGAGTTTGGGGAAGTCGATCCTATTTTTATTTTCAGCTTTGTTAAGGCCACGATTTTCATTTTTCCACGAGATTGATCCAAGTTTAAGAGTTGTGAAGGAGTGCCTTAGGTAAAAAATTTTTCTTATTTGACAAGACACCACCTTGAATGCAAATTCTTCTAGAATCGTGATACAGTCATGCAAATTTAACTTGGAATTTAAGGCGTGTTGAGGCAATCGCGGGAAGGCGTGTTCTTGTTTGCCTCAGACAGCGGCGAGCGAAAAAGCGCTTGCTAGGGGAAAAACGGCGGACATCAGGCAGCATCCACAATCACCATTTATCGGGCCGCCTACTCTTTCGCTCGTCGTTAATGTTTCCCTAGAACACTTTAAAGTGGGTAAACTGTACCAGTCTTGGCTGTTCGCGATTGTCCGGACCGCTTTGATCTTGCATCCTGAGAAATGTACCGAGCCTGAGTAATATAGTGTATTTCTTGTAATTCTAATAAACCTAGGTGGCATTATTTTGTTATTCAAAACACATCTTCAGAAGGAAGGCTTGTCAAAAAAAGGAAAGTCACGAAGAGTTTGGCTTATTCGGTTGAAATTCTTTGACGATGAAAAAAGGGAGAAAAATAAGAACAAAGTTGGCCATTATCCAGTAATGTCAGCTTGCCGACCTTACGCTCGAGCGATATCGCCTAGCGATTGCTTTGAGTGTGAAGCTCTTCCGTCGAGTTAAGCTACGAGTTTCCATCACTGCACACTTTCTCACAGGCTTCACATGAGCGAAGAACTTCCATACTTTTCCTTTGCTTTTCCACGATCTTTTAGCTCAAAGGCAAGAGCATAACAACGAAGTAAGACAAGTCAGTAGAAATTCGCCGGATCATGTGTACTATAGGTGGACTCGGTCGACATATCGGGCGACAGTCGACCGATATATCGGTCGACTATCGGTCGACAGTCGACCGATAAATGTGTCGACCGATATAGTCTTAAACCATCGATACTCGACCGATACATGACCGATACTTGACCGATACATGACCGATACATGACCGATACATGACCGATACTTGACCGATACATGACCGATACTTGACCGATACATGACCGATACTTGACCGATACTTGACCGATTCACGACCGATACTTGACCGATACATGACCGATACATGACCGATACATGACCGATACATGACCGACACTTGACCGATACTTGACCGACACTTGACCGATACTTGACCGACACTTGACCGATACTTGACCGACACTTGACCGATACTTGACCGATTCACGACCGATACTTGACCGATGCATGACCGATACTTGACCGATACATGACCGATACTTCACCGGTACTTCACCGATACTTGACCGACACTTCACCAATACTTGACCGACACTTCACCGATACTTCACTGATACTTGGCCGATAATTCATTGCCCCCCGGGGAGGAGGGTTTATTCCACGATAAAAGATATAAAACTCTAATAAGTAATATGATTACCTCATAATTTAGATGTAAATTGCGTGTCTGGAATCCAGTTTTAAATTTCTCTTGTGCCGGCCAAAGCGCGTATCGTCTCCGGCAGCGAATTCCAAGTCCTTACAGCGGCGAAGTAACGAAGAGACCTTAGACCATGTTTTGTACATCTAACTTTAGGTATCAAAGCATATTTGTGCCCCTTTAATTACGATGCGTGTTCTTTGCTTGAAATGAATTAGCTGTAGTGGTGGGTGTCTTCTTTTGAAAACATCTGTCTATCGTAATTAACATATCTTGGCTGAGACGACCCTTAAATGTGTTTTGTAAACCAATCAAATTGAGCATTCTTTCTTAATGAAGGGTCTTTGCTATAAATACATGTCATACCTAAGTGCACGGTCCCTTACCCTCTCTAGTTTTTCAAGTATATTCAACCTATTGACTTTGCCTGTTACTTTTCCGGAGATAGATGTGGTGTGAGAATTAAGGATCTGTGTTCACTTACAGTAGATCAAAATTATGAGATCTACAACGCACGATGTTTATTGCGTTGGAGACTTACTACACCCTTTTCAAAGGTTAGGTTATATTTGGTTTTATTATCTGTGCTTTGGAAGCTTATTTCATTGGACAATGAATGGCATTTTAACTTTTTTTTCCGCCGCCGCTGTCATTATTCTTTATATAAAGGGTTAAAAACCTCCAGTTTGAGACATGACGGCAAACGGGACGTCGGTAGAGTGAACTCGCAATACTTCCAGCCGCACTCATAAAGTTTTGATTTCTATTTCATTCTATATCAAGCGCGTGTTTTTAGTAAACGTCAAAACAATTCTAACACTGTTTGTTCCCATTGGACCGCGAGTAAGGAAATTTCATTTTCCGATGATGTAGTCTTCAACGCTGGTGTACTAAATGGTGGTGGTGACGGTTGAAAATATAGATCGTATTAGGTTCTGTAGCTTTGTAAATCCACTTTATAGGGATACAACTGTTTCGAGATATTTGTCCGACAAAATGGAGCAAAACAATGGCTGTGTGCAAGTGTTTTAAAAAACATTGGTTAATTTCCTTACTGTCCTCCGTAATACAAGATGTATACTGGTAACTGCAGTTTGTCATCCAAAAAAAAATTACATTCCAAAACTCAAATGGGAAATGGTTTTTGATCGCATGCATTTTAGCGAAAGCTTAATTGACTTTCTTTCCTTTGATTTGTAAAAACAAAGTAAAATACGAGAAATTGGACCTTTCTCGGAAACCTTCGATTTGTTTTTACTGCTCGGTGTATTCATTGGTTCAAATGATATAGATATAGAATTTGAATCGCGAAGCACCCGTAATATAAATTATAATTTTTATAAAAATAAATGTTTGGGTACTGGAAGAAGGCAATACTGCCGATACAATAGATCCCCCTGGGTTACTACCCTTTTAAAGGAAATTTGGGAGTCCTCACGGGGCAAAGAAAGGGGACGTCGACCTCGAGGAGAGAGATGGGTTCTTGGACTTTTTGACACACAGTATGACCCCGCTCGACCGTATTTACAGCTTGTGAGAAGGCGAGATTCGCGTACTCTTTTGACCATTATCCAAAGACACGTACAACCAGGCTCTTTGGTTTATACTGATGAATGGGCGGCATACAGGCAAATGAAAAGGGTTTTGGGTTTCAATCATCAAACGGTTAATCACTCGGTTAACTTTGTAGACCCAATCACCGGTGTCCACACACAACACGCAGAGAGCAATCGGTCTGCAGCAAAGGACAAATTTAAGAAGATAAAAAAGGGAACACAAATCCTAACTTCCTACAAGAATACTTCAAGGAATTCATGTGGAGAAGATGGCATGGTGAGCTTCACCCGAATGGCTGTTTTGGACGGTTGATGGAGGACATTGCAGAACAATATCCACTTTAAATACCCAGAGGTGGGGGTACTCCCATATACATGTATGTGCCGCGGGATAGGGTATGGTTTTGGCGGTTATCGTTTTGCCTGTGTTAGCATTGTGTTTCCGTTGTGATCTTTAGATAGGATATGTAAATTGTATCGGCTAAA